CTACGGGCTTATGCGCCAGACTCCGACAGTTCCCCTGGCAACGGGGGCCGGCTGCCACGCCCAGCGCCAACGTGGTCCTAGCGGACGCGCCCTATAAACTTTGCTCCGTGCTTTCCAAGACTCTTCCACGCGGGTGTGACAACAGCGCTTTCACCTACTTTTCCTAACCTGTGAACTGATTATATCCTCTACGATGCACAAAGGAAACTTGGCTCGAAGGGACTTTACGGATGACGCAAAAGAGTTTGTGTGGCCTGTGTGTGCAACGAGAAGTTGCGAAGTTTGGACTTTTTCTTCTAAAAGTGAACATTGAATGATCAACTCATCAAACGTTCATTTCGTAATTATTTTGTTTCTACTTGAGGAATAATTTGTGCACTTTTTTTAAAACCTCAAAAGGTACGGTTGATTAGCTAGTATATTGTGCCTGGCTGTCTTCTACAAGGAACTGCACACTAAGCTGCTTAACAAAGCTATTAGAGGGGTTAGGTAAGAGGGATTGGGGGCAGGGGCAGGAGTTACATACAGCGGAGTCAGCAAAGTTCCACTCTACTGGATGAAGTAAGGGATAAGTCTAGAGGTCTGGGCATGGTAGTGCATGCCTGTAATACCAGCCAGAGGGCGATATCGTCAGGAAGATTGAGAGATCAAAGCCAGCCTGGCAACATATGGTTCTGTCTCAATAAATAAATAATAAATAAATAAATAAATAAATAAATAAATAAATTGAATCCTCCCACCCAACCAAGACTCCCGACCCCGTTTCGCTTGCTCAGAAGCGAACACTATCAGTGCTTTCTACTTCCAGAAATATTCAAGCCAATGTCTTGTCTGTGCTCCATTCATCACCTTGTTAACTGAAATTACGTGAGCAGTACACACTTTACCACTACTCAGTCATCGTTTTAAAAGTAAATTCTACTTGTAGACTATAAACCCGTAAAAGACACATAAACCATCATCTTTGCCCCAACAGGAGTGAAAATATTTTTGGTGGAGACCATCTCCCTCCTGTCCCAAATCAAGTTCTTGTCCAGCCCTCCTCCAAAATGGAGTGGGCAGATAGCAAAGAGTACAAGCAGGAGGTACTCTATTGTCACTCTATGATCAACAGCTTTAACAAAATAAAAACTAGTTTAAACACATTGAATGCAAGATCTTACTCCTATTCAAGTGAAGACCTTTGAACTCACTACTATTCAAGTGAAGACCTTTGAACTCTCAGTACAGCTCCTGAAAGCAAACAGCTCTAGCGGGTCACTGGACCCAAAGGGTGACAAAGCCCAGAGTCTTGAGGCTCTGAAGCCACAGGTCTGGAAGTCTGGAGCTAGTAGGTCTCTGAAGCAGTGGGTGGGGGTGGCTGGAAGCAGCTGCAGGCATAATTCCCTTCTGTAGCCAGATCACGTAGTCTTGGAGCCCTGAGTCCCTCTACTTGCAGCTCTGGTCACATCTTGGATGCAGCTCAAGTGAGCTCCTTTCCCTGGGCAGAAGATAAGCCTTAGGAGCTGAACCTGCAGTGAATCCATCCCCAGGGAGTATTGGAGGCAGCTTTCTTTCTCTTCTGTAGGCTCCTGCATAAGGTGGCTCTGTTTCTGCAGCCTCTGAACATCCAGATTTATAGGTTACCAACCAGGCCCTGAGTGTCAAATCTTGAAAATGGGTATATGCCCAGAAGGTGAAAAATTAGGATCAATCAAGAAAGAACTGTCAAAGGAATAGGATAGGGGAAGAACCTAGAGCCCACCAAAAGTTCACAGGCTCTCTGTGTAGAGTTGGGGAGACTAAAGAAATTTCTGTCTGCCTCTGGTTGCCCCTGGATCTTTGCAGGCCAACTGTGTCCCTGATCAGGCACTGGCTGTCAGTTTCCTTTCACCAAGGGATTTTCTCTGGCCAGGTTTTTGTTTCTTTTTGCAGCAGTTTCTCTCTCTCTCTCTCTCTCTCTCTCTCTCTCTCTCTCTCTGTGTGTGTGTGTGTGTGTGTGTGTGTAGGACCAGCTAAGAAGATTGAAGTCCTAAGACAGGATTATGACTTCCAGATGAAAATGGGATCTTCTTCACCTGCTCTCTAGGTCTCTCCTTTAAACTTATCAGATATCTAAAAGAAAGCCAAAAGCTACATCATGATGAAGTCTGGTTACTCTGTGTGTGTGTGTGTGTGTGTGTGTGTGTGTGTGTGTGTGTGTGTGTGCACGCGCGTGTATCAGATGTTGACACCAGGCTATCTTCCTCAGTTGCTCTTCCACCTTAATTTTTGAGACCGGATCTCTAACCAAACATAGAACTCAGCCGTTTAGATAGCCTGGCTGGCCAGCATGCTATAGGAATCTTCATATCTTCCCCTCCCAAGCTCTAGGACTATGGGCGCATGATGATCCAGCAGGATTTTTAATTTTTACATAGTTGCTGGGGGTATAAACTCAGGTAGCCATGCTGACATGGCAAGCACTCACTGGGTCACCTTTCCAGCCTTGGATTATAATTTTAATCTATTTCTTAAGATTAAAAAACCATACACCCGTTGATTTGAGAGACTGCTGGATGGTGAGAACAGTGGGACATGGCTACTATCATCTACTTGTTCCAGCTCAAGCATTTGGTTCACAGAGGAACCAAATTAAACAGTACTGTCCCTTCGTGTACAAACTCAGGATGCAGAAAACTTTGTCCCAGGGCGAAAATGTCATCCCTGAGTCTTTATGGGGATCTTCCTTAGGAGTCATCTAATGCCAAAGTCCACAGACACTCGAGCCTTTGGTGTAAAATAATAAAGTGTGATCTACAGACATCTGCCACCTGCTAACTTACAGTACTGCACCACAAGTGACTTCTACATATCTCATTGTTCCCAGAAGAATGCAAATGCTTATATTGTGTTATTTTAGCAGAGATAAGAGAAAAGCCTATATTGTTCAAGTGTCATTTTCCCCAAGTGTTTCCTGTCTACACTTTGGAAGACACAGATGAAGAATTCAGAGCATGGAGGGTCTACTCTTTAGCACAGGTAAGGATTTTTACATTTTCTTTACAATCTTTATTTTGTCTATTGGTCTTCTGCCTGCTTGTCTGTTTGTGCACTGCTTATGTGTCTGGTGTCTATAGAGGCCAAGAGAGGGCATCAGATCCCATGGAATTGGAGTTACAGACAGTTGTGTGCCACTATGTATGTGTTGGAACTCAAACCCAGGTCCTCTGCAAAAGCAGCAATTGTTTTTAACTTCTGAGACAGGCCTCCAGCCCCAGCGATTCTAACATGTCTTACAGGTGAATGCATTTGGAGGAGTGTTGTGGCTTGAGTGTGGCATGTCCCCCACAGGCTCGTGGTTTTGTCCACTTGGTCTCAGCCAATGGCGATACTTGGGAAGGGTGTGTAACCTTTGGTGGGTATGGAGCATGGCTGAAAGAAGTATGTCCCAGGGTAGACCTTGAGGTTTTATAGGACAACCAAACTTCTTGGTCTTGCTTCCTGACTGCCCATGTAATGTAATCAACCAGCCTCATGTTCCTGCCACCATGCCTTCTCCACTAAGATGGTCTGCCTCCCCTTGGAACTATAAGCTGTAAGAAGCCTTTGTCTTTTACGTTTTTGTGGCCAGTTTTTTTGTCAATGTAATATGTACTGTAAAGTAACCAAGACATCATTTGACTTGTGTGAGCATAGGATATGGCCAGTGGCTAGGATGGTAGGAAATGGTTTGCAGTTATTGAATGGGCCATAATAATGGTGGAAAACATGCTCACATCCCAGCAAGACAGAAAAAGGGCAACATTAAGGTGTAAAGATAGAAGTTTAGGCTATGACAAAGGTACAATGCATAGCACCAAATCACTATGACAATGCAAAGAAAGAAGTAAAAAAAAAAAAATCTAGCTTTTGATTTTACCTGTTGAAAAATTAGAATGGGCATGGTTCAGGCCCTTGTCATACATCTTAAAGTCAAATGCCTTCATGAAACAGAGAAGTGCCCTTCATGTAGTTTCAAAGAGACCGTCAAAATGAAAACCCTGAGATGTGCTCCAGTGCTCCCTTACAGTGAATATCAGGCATCGCCAAATTCCTGGAGAACACAGGAAATCTCATCTTTCCTGTCAAACAATGGAATCGAAATCCCAGTCTCCGATTGTATTTTCTGTTGACCCTAAGTAGCCCAAAAAAGAGAGTGGCTCTTGCAGATAACTCTTGACTATCATGGTTTAAGAAAGTGACTGTTGTAAGCTGAACAGGCAGTCCAGCAAACTGAACAGGCTGTATTTGAGTGATAAATCAGACTAACTCTAGCTCCCTGATAAAAGTTAGCAAGGTTGGCTACACAAATGTGAGTTTGTGGCCTTTCCCCAAGGATATCTGGTCTTTTCGATTTCATCACAGCGATAAAGTCTGTATCTAAACATGGTTACTATAAAAATCAAGTGTGTTTATCATGTTGATGAAGGCATTGTGGTGATTTGCCCTTTGGAAGGATTTGGTAGTTGTAGTGACAACTTTGGCTAAATACCATGAACCTAAAAGTAATTTTGGACCACCAGAAATAGTCTGTAAACAATAATAAAACACACTCCTTTCAAGGGCTCTGCCAATGGAAAGGAAGAAAACACACCAAGAGTCTGTTTGACCATCTATGAAAATACATACGAACTGTGATCCAAGGGTGTATAGGTACCTAGGGGTTCCAGCGTAGTCAAAGAGTTTCGGAATTTTCTGTAACCAGGACCCTTCAAATACGTTTGGTTTGGGGTTTGGGGGTTTTTTTTGTTTGTTTGTTTGTTCGTTTGTTTAGGGGTTTTTGTTTGTTTTATTTCGGTTGAAGCATAATACTGCCACCTGGTGGCAGCCATTGGAATATTTGTGCTTAAAAAGTTCCTGGCGGAGAAAACTGGGTAACCTGCGGTAAACTGGACGCTAGCAATACTGCTCTGTGTTGCGTTTACAGCAATTCTCATTTTCTGGTTGGTTATCAGTTGAAGAGCCTGCCTGAGCTTTATCACCCCGGCAGAGGGAAGCTGCTCAAGCCGGCATGACGGGCAGAAAAACCATCTGTGGAAGAAGTGTGGGCGGTAGAGTGTTGCTATGGTGGGACCAGTTTGGATGTCACCGCCACAACGTGGGTGTCGGGGCGATAACAACAGAAACACGGGTATAGAAAGAAGTTTCTAAGGATCATAGACATTTTATAAATGATGGGGTGTAAAATCCGTGAGTCCGATTAGTCTAATGCCATTTGATAAAACTGATGGGGCTCCGTAGATGCAGAGCTCGAGGGAGATGCTTGTCTCACTGAGGTGAGACATCCGAGCAGAAACGCTGCAAAAACAGATTCGTTGATGCTCCAATGAGCACACGAAGCTGTTGCGATGCCCTTCTGCGATGTCTTCCTTTTCTCAGCTCTCTATAGTATGGCTGTTCTCCATCGCTTCGTAGCCTGGCAAGTTTGTGCCTGACCTAGCAGGGTTTGCTTGCCTTATGGGTGCCAAGAGAGCTTAGCAAACGCCTTGGAAACAGAGGGGCTTGAAAAGCAGAGAGGTGAAGTGTTTGCCTTCATCTCAGGATCTCGCTAATCACAACTCCCTGCCGTTAGCATTCAGTATGACAGTCTCAAGCAGGTGGGTATCCAAATCTCTTTAAGCTCTCAAGGGGGCCAGAAACCGGAGTTCGCTTGCAGAAAAGAAATTGCTTATCACACAAACACTGCCCGCGAGTCTCCAAGAGAGTTCAGAGTGGAAAAGGCCAAATCAGAAATACAGATGAAGGGACCTGGCGATGTGCCATGTGTTTCTCACCTTGGAATCAAAATTTGATGAATACTCTTAGGAAAAGAAGAAGAAGAAGAAGAAGAAGAAGAAGAAGAAGAAGAAGATCCGCTAAATCGGTGGTATCTAGTCAGGACCAGGCAGCCCTGGGCTTGCCCACAATTTCTCATGTTTAGCCACCCCTCAGCCTTTGCCAGAGGGTTTTAAAGTGCACTAAAGAAGGGACCGCGATCTGACCGGGCGAAAGGGCTGGGGACCCTATCCACTGCCCATATGGGTTGGGGCGCAGGCGCGCGGGGTCAGGGACGCAGGCGCCTTGCCGTGACGCCGCCGCCACGTTGAAGGCCAAGAACGTGAACCTGCTCTTCGCCTTCGTTGCGGTCCTGCTGTTTTGCTTTTCCTGTTTCTGCATCTCCAAAATGAACCAAACAAGTAAGTCCAGGGACCATCCTGCCTCACTCGGGAGCCCCACCCCGATGTCGCGGCTGTAAGACCCAAGGAGGGACACCTTGGCGGACTCTTGCCACCACCCCCACTCCCCCCACCCCATAGAGCGCACAATCCCACGTCCCCTGGCGGTTGGGCTGTAACGGGACCTCGGAGCCACCGTGGCACATGTGCTGATGAATCCGGCCCTCTGGACTTATGCTGGCGGGGTCGCTCCAAAGAGGCTCCTCTCCTCTCCTGCTCTTCCTTCTTCCAGATCTATTCCAGACATCGCAAGAGCGCCAGCACCTTTCCTCTTTTTCCGATAGGATTAAATATTATCGGTGAAAATTTGTAAGCACTTGCAGGAAGACTGCCAGATCTAGAACCTAGTCCTTTCTCCCTTTAAAAATTAGCTGCCATTTGATTCCATCACTCGGGAGGCAGAAGCAGGCAGATCTCTGAGTTCGAGGCCAGCCAGGGTTACATAGGCGCAGTAAATAAATAATTTTATGGGCAGATAGTATTTTTGTTTTTCTGTAAGTTCGTGGTACTGATTGATTTGTTTGAAGCTATTTAAGCCCAGTGAAGATGAAGATACTTGTCTGTTTTGTCCCCTGATGTGAACCTAGTTTCCAGGAAAAAAAGTGTATGGCACAGAGCAAACATGCCAAATATTTTTTGAAAAAAAGGATTGGGTAAATGAGTGAACGTGTCGGTAGCTGTTTTGTTGTAAGCACTAGATCAACGACAGTGGTAGCGACAGAAATCATCCCTTTCTGTGGAGTTTCCACAGTGCTTATGGGGAAAACAACAACATCTATAGCTAAAGTGTAGGACTGCAGCACAAGCTCAGATGTTGGCTGGGACAGGACGGGCTCTAGTCATGCTGTCCTTGTAGAGACATCACTGGGCGCCTGGAGGAAGAGGTCACCTTGCAGAAGACCTCTGATGGGGAGGCACACTGTGCCACCTTTGGCAAATACCACCTGCACATTTCCGGTGCTTCCTTGCTTGCTAAGCACCGGGAGGACTGGGGGAGGGGGTCTCAGGTGGTTTGGTTTCTCTGGATGATGCTTCTGTGGCCAACATCCAGTGTTGGCTCTTTGTGAGGTTACTTGTGGCTGCTTTGGGGTCTTGCTGCAATATTGTATCGGGCCACAGCTACCTGGAGATCTATACCTCTCAGCGTGACTGCCTGGCAAGCTGCTTTGCAGATGTCTCCATTCCTGTTCCTCTTCATCTGGCCCAGTGGTTTGCAATTTTTAGAGAAGTGTGCCTCAGGCTGAACTGGGGGAGAAAAGACTGGCCCTAGAGCACCATATTGTATTTCTCCTGGGCTCTCTTTGGAGGGGGAAGTTCCCCCTCCATACTTAGACAAACAGGAGAGTACATTAAATCCCAGCGTCTGGACTCCTGGAATTACGACAAACTTTTACATCGTTATTGCCACTATGGAGCCCATCTGGGGAGAAGAACTCCCATGTCCAAGTGGGAGAGGGAAGTACTCAGGGAATGCCTGCTGGAATTTAGAAGATATAATACTTGCAGGGCAACAGTGTGGAATGGCCATTGCATCCCACACTGGTAAAGGTGAAGGTTGTAGTCAACTTCAGCACTAGGATAGTGAAAATATAAGAATTCATACTAGACTTCTCAAGGGTTCATGTTGAAGTCTGTAGCCTAACCACTAAAATCATAGTAAAATAGCATGAAACTGGATCAGCAATTATAGTGAATGCTCCAAATTGAAGTTGAAATGCTTTGTGAGTGGGTATAAGACAACTTCATGATATTCACAAGAAGCACCCTTAAAAGACAGAAATGCTG